CAAAGAGGCTGAACAAATTTTTAGTGACATTATTTAAAAAAGAATATCAGAAATAATTAAGAAAATCATTTCTTAGTTATTAAACACCATATTTTAAACTTTAGCTCATTTTATTGAGGTTTAAAGTCATTCACATTTAAACTATACAGTGTAGAGAGCGTGATTTCAGACCAATAACTTTTTTTGTCATTGATCAGTTAAGTAAAAAATGTATTTGTATTTGCTCAAACCAATCAATGTTTTATTGCAAAAATCCAAAATTATATAATACTAAAGAAGAATTGTGCTTGTTTTTGCGTATTTTAAATCGCATCAAAAACGAGGAAAACCTTTATAGATTTTTGACGGACATCACAGTCATTTGGATATTGCAGAAATAGGGAAGCCGAAAAGTTAAACATTATGAATGTTTAACTTTTTCGGCTTCGTCTTCCAGGCGTATTGTAGTTATGAACTTGAATCTTTGGACAAAAGTGTTTTCATATAATTAAGAACATACAAAAATGTTACCGTTGATATTTTCCAAAAAAGCTATCCTGGGCGATCACTGTCACAACTACAGTTTCCACTATTGTTGACTGAAGTATGGGTTGCGTACTGTACACCAGTAAATGCCATATTAAGATTCAGGTCAAGAGAAATCTATGTTTTCAACCCTAAAATTATGACTTAATAAACTATAATTCATTTTTAATCAGATTTTCAACTTAACTGTGTTATGAATAGGACGCACTTGAGACATAAATTGTTATTAGTAACTTTCTTCTTATATATATATATATATATATATATATATATATATATATATATATATATATATATATATATATATATATATATATATATATATATATATATATGACATATAGGGTTTGCAGCTGAACAACCCTAATGCATTGGTGGCAATTAGCAATGATTCTAGAAGACGCTGAAAGTAAGTACATATCTTTATTGAATCTATTGAAATACGAGCCTCAAGTTACCTTGATTAGAAAAAAAAATTTCAAAAGTGAAAGGTGAAAGTCATATCGTACAAATCTCCATATATTCAGAATGTGGAAACAAAAATAGATTCTCGTTTAGTAGCATTACTTAACTTGCATTGCCCACACACCCACACTGAACCAGATTTTAGTTGGATGAAATGACATATGGTTGTGTCCTACCTTTTTGAAATTGTTATAACCATACCATTCAGGGAAATTTAGTAAAAAAAATCATAAAATTATTCTTTAAAAAATATTTGGGTTTATACAGGGGTCAAATAAGGTCCCGAACTTACGCGCCCCTTTAACTGATATCAAGACCCACCACAGGGGTGCTTGCAATTGTTGTACATTTTGTCAGACAATTTGACAAGTCGTTATATGTCCCCCTCAGATGGGCCTTAAAAACTGTCTGAGGGGAGCTAATGCCGAGTACTTTTTTCTTCTTCAAATTAAAATGGAAAAAAAAAAAAATTTTAAGAAAATATTTATTAAAGATTATTTAAATGTTTTCCATTGAAACTAACCACTGCTTTTCTCAAATACTTTGCATACTTTTGATGGTTATCAGACACTTTGAAACATTCTTATGCTTCCTTTAGAAATGAGTAGTGAAGAACTTCCCCTGCTTGTTCACTAAAGAAACCCAATCCAATGTCCTTATCTTAACAAAGAGGACCTACAGGTTGAAATATGATGTGTAACTTCACAGTAACTGTCATTTCATAATCTTCCAATGAGATTGAATAATGATTCTTAAATAACCTAATGTCTTTTTCAAATGTTGGCCTTAAATTTACACTAAAACAAGAGTGAACAAGGTTATCCAGAAGCCTGAACGCTTCAGCCAATAGTTTTAATAGGAATTGAAACAATTTATAGTACTTCACCCAATTTTTTGATATTTTATGACAACCATTACCATTACATGACCCATTTCTTATTGATTTAGAAATATTTAAGTCATTTTTGACTTTTTTAAATAGTTCTGGATCAGCTAATTTGTTTATTGTTTAAAAGATATGGTTTGTTGTCTCTTCCCTCAAATGAAGTTCTAGAGGAGAAAGATGATTAACAACTAGATCATTATCATCACCAATTAAAAGAACTTAATCAATACAGTTAAAATATTATTTTGCTCTAATTTTCTTTGATCCGCTCAATTTATGAAATTTACTGCCTAATCTTAGTGACTCAAGTGTTCGTAGTTGAGTGCAATCATTTTTAAAAACTTCTGTTCTGTTCTATGTACAAATATAACACAGATGAGTTGCCATGGAACTCGGAGACATACCACACATGACTTGACACAGTTTGATATCTGCCACACAAATAAAGTTTATTTAATCCAAACAGAGTTTGTTAAGCAGAATTTTAATATTATGGTTCGTCTCTGTTACATTTGGTACCAGTGCTATAATAAATGATGCTTTCACAGATTCTTCCTTAAAATTTGGTGATTTAATTTCTCCATATTTTCTCCTTTTGTTTTTAATTGTTTCACTAGGATTTGATACAACATTTAGGCAAACCTGAATATTTTATAATAAATTACACTTATTATTATTTTTAATTAGAAAAAAAAAGTGGCTCATTATAAAATCAAATTACCTTAAGAAATCCCCGACCTCCGTCAATAGAAATTTTTATATACTAATTTTGAGGATAGGCTCCTTTTTTATCTATTATTTGCCACAGAAACTCATTGACATCTGTTATTCTGATAAATGGGATCAGTTTTAAAAAAACTTTTTTCCTCTACAGATTTAATATTAAATCATCAATCACAATCATCAAGCTGCTCGTCAATACGTTTGAGCCCTTCTGCTAACCCTATTTTTCTGTTTTGTGCTTTGAATCGTAATTTTTTTGTTAGCTTTAAAACTTTTGTGTTACTCAATTCTAAAGTTGATTGTATGTCAATCACACTGTTTATAGACAGTTGTTGTATATTACTAGTATCAAGGTTTGTCTTAAGTGTAAAACTTACTTTTTTACCACCAGTAGCAAGTATCGCTTTACCCTTTTTGTCTATTTTGTCTTTTATTAAAGAATTAGCTACTTGCTCAATTGTCTTGACATTATTTGCAAGCTTTTGCATTACATTACATTTAAGTACAGCTAAAGAACATTTGTGGGTAATTCCTTTGCTAATAATTGAAAAGCAAGTTTGACAAGTTAGACTATTAACTAGAGGTTAAGCGTTACATATACGTCCCTTATTGAACTTTTTAGGTCTCCCTTGATCCAATTATACATATTTTGCATTTACATACAAAAACACTTCTAGTTTGAACTGATATTTTCATTTTATTCCACTTTACGTGTAAAGCTCTTTTCCTCTTCTTATACTGCTTTTTCGTGTGTAAATATGCATTATTATTACAAATACAAAACCATTTAATATATATATATATATATATATACATATATATATATATATATATATATATATATATATATATATATATATATATATATATATATATATATATATATATATATATATATATATATATATATATATATATATATATATATATATATATATATATATATATATATATATATATATATATATATATACACTACCGTTTATAATTATTCGAATGACATTAATTTTATTTTTTAAATCTATTTACATTTAACTATTTTTTATGCTTATTTTTGCACTATTAAGCCTTAAGCTGTCACAGAAGTGAGATCAGATTAAAAATCAGCTTCTTGTTCTAAGCAATTAAAAAGAGAAGATTAAAAAATATACTTTTTATAATTTGTTGATGGGTTTCAGAGTAAAAATATCTTTGAAGACAGATTAAGACAAGTCATTTTTCCACATGTATACAAAGCATAAAACATTATATATATTTAGCTCGTATATATTTAAAATTCTCATTTCAAAAAAATAATGTTTTGCGTGAGAAAAGCGATTTGAAAAGCAGATTAAACGGATAGCATGTTTCTGACAACCTAACAGCCTTAACAGCCTAAGGCTTAAAATATGCAATTTTTAACATAACTAATTTACTGCAAAAAAATATTACAATGTTGTATATATATTAAATTTTTTAATATTATTAATATACTTTTTAAATATTTTTTAAACACCTAAAATATTACACCCAAGGCATAGAAGTTGGATATACGGAAAAACTATAAGTTGAAAAATATATCGCAATTCCGAAAAGGGCCCTTTTAGCCCTGCTTACGGATCCTATATTATTATGATAAAGATTATTATTAAACCAACCTTTTTTTTAATTAGTAATCCTGTATAAACCCAAATATTTTTTAAAGATTAGTTTTATGATTTTTTTCACTAACTTTCCCTTAATGGTATAGATCTAACAATTTCAAAAAGGTATGACACAACTCTATTTCAATTCATTAAACTAAAATCTGGTTTAGCGTGGGTGTGGCATAATCGGTCCATTATGCACTAAAATTTCATAAATATTCTACAGAAATTCATTTAAGGGTAGTTATAGCTGTACCCCAGTAAGCACAGAACGTTTTTAAAACGTTTAAAAAACCTATGAAAACGGTTTTTTTAACATTTTTTAAATGTTTTAAAAACGATCTGTGCTTACTGGGATGCTCAACGTTGAATCCTAAATTTATTCACATTACCACAAAACTTTGCGCATTGATACAAATTTGAATGCAAAAATTTACAACCGCATTGCAAAGACCTTTTTTTTTTTAGGAATATGATCTTTTGCTGTTGAAGAAATACCTTCATAATATTACAAATACAATATATGGCCGGAGCAAGAAGAAGACATTATTTTTGTCGCCGAGCACCGTATTACAATATACATTTTTTACAAAATTTTTAATAAGAGTATAAAGTATAAATATAATTGTGTCTGTGTGTATGTGTGTGTGTGTGTGTGTGTGTGTTTGTGTGTATATACAATATTATTTTTATATATGAATATAATATTTAATATATGGATACAATAGAAAGCATATTTATAAAAATCAGGTCACCCGTTTATAAAATCATCATACCAAAAACATAACAATGGTTTTCTTTTTTATTTCATGCCTTGCTTGCTTGCATGCAATTGCGTTGCTTACAACTTTATTAACTTTCATTTACTTGCATTTTAACAAAATGTATCATTTTTTAGAAATAGCAAGTTAAATTTTAAATTGATAACAATATGTAGTTAATTTAAAGTAATGCTATACATGTCAACATTTCAATGTAAAGTATGAAAGATGAATAAAAACTATGTAAATTATTTATGTTGTCTAGAGTAACAAGTTTGTATAAATATGTCGCCTACATTTAAAAATATAATATTATTAAAATTTTTATCAAAAATAAAAACCTTAATTTTATTGTTTGATAATTTAACTTCATAAGTTGTTGTGTTTTTTTGTTTTTTTTTTATTTAGTTAAAGAAGAAATATTTAGTATTTAAATATGAGCATAAATATTTTATAAGATTTAGTTTGGAAAGAAGCACACAAAAAAAGGATCGTTTGGAAATTACATCCGTGTCGTAATGGTTAGAATGCATGCTTTGCAAGCATGAGATCTAGGGTTTAGTAAGGGCTTTGGGCATATTATGCGTTGTTGGTAGAGTAGGCATAAACTTAGAAGTTAAATGCTCTTCCGCGGTGATCCGCGACATGATCATAGGGTACTCATAGGACAACTAAAACAAAAATTAAAAAAAAATCTTAAAGTTATTTTTAAAATATAATCACTAGTAGAAGTAGAAAAGTTAAGCTCTAAAAAAATTTATTAAAAGAATATCTACACCGGTGTTTCGCATTACTAGAGAAAATACAGCTAATAACAAATTGCATATATTTCAGTTTTTCGTGCTTTGATAGAACTGCATTTTGGAGAGTAGGAATCTAAACAGCCTACTGTTTAATTTATTTAAATCAAATCATCAAAATTTTTTTGGCAATAATGGTTTTAAACGAAAAAAATCTGAATTTTTTTTATAGTTAAATTTTTAACAATCGAATTTTTACTCTAAAACTACTAAAAGACACCTAAGAGCTTTATGACCGCCCAATTTTAAGTGTAAATAAAACTCTAAAAGCTTTATAAATATGGTAATAAAAAAGTAAGTTGTCGCAGAAAGAAATTAATGTATTAAGTAAGTGAAATTTAGAATGTTTTAAATATCACTCAAGATAAATTACAAAGATTTAAACCATAAAGTTTACGGTCTAAATTTTCCAAAACATGAAACTTATGAAACAAAAAAAAAAATGTAAATACAAACCATCGTTTGTTGGCAGGGTAGTGTGTACTTACATATATACATACAACATACATACATACATACTTATATACGTACATACACACATACATACATACATATATACATACATACATACATACATACATACATACATACATACATACATACATACATACATACATACATACATACATACATACATACATACATACATACATACATACATACATACATACATACATACATACATACATACATACATACATTACATACATACATACATACATACATACATACATACATACATACATACATACATACATACATACATACATACATACATACATACATACATACATACATACATACATACATACATTCATACATACATACATACATACATACATACATACATACATACATACATACATACATACATACATACATACATACATCCATACATACATACATACATACATACATACATACATACATACATACATACATACATACATACATACATACATACATACATACATACATACATACATACATACATACATACATACATACATACATACATACATACATACATACATACATACATACATACATACATGGATACATGTTTGTATATAACTAAGAAACACTAGACAAACAAAAACATACGTTCAAATCACAAGCTAACTCAATACAGTATATAAATCGATATACGTGTTATAACTTATATAACCATAGCCAGATTGAAGTAGAGGCCCAGGGCAGGACAATTAATTATACTTATAGTATGTTGTTACAAAAATAACAAAAATAAAAAATAAAATAAACATAACATAAGTAATAAAATACAAAAATAAATACTGGAGAACTGAAGCCTCGAAATGAAATCATAAATAACGGTGTATCAACATCTTCAGTTGCCATCATCTAGCTTTAAAGTTTTTTCAGTTTTTCATTGTAACAGGCATCATGCAGGGAATCTGAAAGAATGTCATTTTACGGTAAATGTTTAATGTTATTAAATAGGCATGACATAAATAGACTTAAAAACAACAATAATATAACATGACTACTATGTTACCATTTAAAATTTAATGTCTTGACTCAAGTTAACATGGCATCAAACCCTTAAATCAGTTGGTAAGGGTTTATTACCTTTTATATAAATTAATAAAGGCAAAAATAATCAAAATCACTAATATTTTGATTATATCTAAATAATCAATAATCATTTTTGTTTATACAAGGGGCAGATCCATGGTGTCGCGAATGATGCGCATGCATCAGTCTTTTTGCACCGCTAAATTTAAATGTATCTCTTTTTTTACTTTTTTTTCTTAATAAAAAGTAAAAGTAGAAGTTGGAATCTGGTATTGACAAAAACTGAAAAACTTGTTTTAAACTCGAAAAAAATTCATTTAAACTCGATTTTATTTAATTTCTATAGTTACTTATTCGTTACTTAGACAAAATTCCTGCGTTTTGGAGCTACTAATGCAATTGTTCTTCACTAAATACAAATGTGATTAATTTAAAAAAAAAAATTACGTTTTAATCAATCATATTTGTACATTTTCACAAATTTTTCCAATCACTTTGTAGCAACTGATACAATTGCACTCTAAATCATTAATGATTGGTTAAAAAACAGTTTAAATTAATCACTATTTAACAAAATAACAAATGCATCAGTTGCTACAAAACTTTCGCAAAAAATTTTACAAAAAAAATTGGAAATGTTATTTATGACCAATCAAATTTGTAGTAAGTTTAGAACACTTGCATCAGTTGCTCCAAATTGTTCAAATTTTACAAAATTTTGATATGCGACCTGATATACGTTCTTCGCTCGTAATTTTCGTCGTTCGAATTTTCTTGTAAACTAAATTTAAAAAAAAAAAATGAATTTTCTAGTCTCAAACGCAATTATGGCTAGACATTTGCCAAATATTCGCAAATATAAAAACAAATTGACTGAAAAATTGAAAGTTTTAAATAACAAGAGTCCAGTTCAGCCACATAGTCAGTCTTCTGAAAATACTGTAATTGATCGTTTTATCCCAAAGCAAGAAGATACTAAAGATTATTTTGCTTTAAGGTAAAACCCTATTATTAAAGTTAATGGTATTTTATATTTTCAGCTAGTAATTAATATAAACTGAGCTTGTTTTAGTATACTTTTTATTTTATTTAAGGTCATCTAAAGATGGAAATTGCCTCAACAGTTCAGCTTCTCTTTTAAGCAATTCGTCTCTGAAGACAGTTAATGTATTGAGGTTTCTAAATTCGATTAAATTGTTTGAAAAAGCTTCCTTTTATGCAAAAATCAAGATCAAAATGTTCAAAATCAAGATCAAAATGTTCAAAATCAGGATCAAAATGTTTCAAAATTTTATAGTGTAATACTGATATTATGTCAGTAATGCAAAATAATAATTACCAAACGTTTTGTACCAATTATTAAAAAGTCTAAACTAATTTCTAGTAATAATAAGACTTTGGCTATAAAAAACGATGCTAATTATCCTTTACAATTTTTTTAGCCTCAAAACTGAAACAAATAAAAAAAAAAATAACATGATTCTGCAAAACATGTCAAAATTCAATCTAAAATTAACTTTAAAAAAGGCAATGCTTTCATAGAGTTTTCTTTTGAACTTTCTGTAGATTCAAAAATAGTTAAGTCATTAGACTCCAACTCAGTTATTATTCCTTCATATAATGAATCAAATTCTTTGTATGATGTTTCAACATATCTTGTTCGGGGTAAACTTTTAACCGCTGGCAAAGATAGTTTTATTTTGTTAGATATGAAAAAACAAAGTATTTTATACTAATTCTTTGTTTGTTTTTCCAATATCTTTTAATACAAATAGATCATTATATTTGAATGGCTCAGCCAGTTTTCTCGGTTAGCTTATTCTAGCAAAGAAGATGGAGCGTATTGTCTTTCTTGTGCTTTGCTAGATACTTGTATTCCAAATTAGTCTGGAATACTAAATTTAGTTTTTAATCCCCATCAAGAGTGAGGTAATGATGTTTGTGATTATAGAAAACATGAGGAAAGTTGCGTTTTACATGAAAAATTTATGCTTTCACGTTGCAACTCTAAAAGCAATGTCATGAAGTTGATTTAAATAATTCTTATTTGAAACTTCTATCTGATAACCGAAAAAAATTAGTTACAAAAATTAAAACAATATTATTTCTTGTTAGAAACGATCTAGCATTTTGTGGACATCGTGATAATAGCAAGTATCATCCTAATTTTGGAGAATCTTCTACACAAAAAGTTGCAGTTAGTAACTTCATATAGCTTTTAAATTTTCGTGTTGATGCTGGTGATCAAATATTAGCTAAACATCTTTCTTCAATAAAGTCCAAAAAATGCAACCTATATATCAAAAACTACTCAAAACCAACTTATTAATTTTTGTGGGAAAGCAATTAAGGATGTTTTAATATAAAATGTCAAGCTTTCAATTTTTTTTTTCAATTTTTTGTGAAGATGCAGTTGACTGTTCAATTACTGAAAAATTGTCACTTGTTGGTATATAAATTCAAATAATGAGATTTGCGAAGATTTCTGAAGATTTATTGATTGCAAGACTGGTACATCTGGTCTTAGTCTATCTCTAAATGTACTTAATGTACTTCAAGAGTTTGAACTTGGTATTCAAAACTGTAGAGGCCAAGGGTGTGACGGTGCGGGTTGTATGGCAGGTGAATATAAAGGAGTTGTTTCTCGAATAAAAGTTCTTAATCATAAAGCTATATTTGTTCATTGTGCAAGCCATAGACTTAGTTTAGTAGTAGCAGCTACATGCCAAATTCAAAAAGTAAAAAATCTTTTTGGCCAAGTAAAAGAAATTTCTTATTTTTTTAACTTATCTCCTAAACGTAGTAACTGTCTCAAAAAAGTTCAAATCAAGAAAAAATAATAGATACTTGTCGAACAAGATGGGTTCAAAAGCTGAAGGGTCTTGATGTTTTTTTGATACTTTTATACCTATTATTCATGCTTTAGAGAAGATGGGGTTAAATGAGTCAAAGGAGTATAACAGTAAAACTGCTTCCAAATCCTCTTCTTTTTTACGATTACTACAAGATTTCTCTTTTATTGTAAGTATAGTTATTACAAAACAATTAATGGATTTTTTTATGGAATTACTGTAACTCTTCAAACTAAATCTTTTGATATATCTCAACAGTGTTTTGAAATAACTAATCTAAAAAATCTGTTATAAGAAACTAAAAATAAAATTGATATATAAACTGTTAAAAATTCCCATACTTATACGGAATTATTTTCCGTTATTTGTGCGAAAACTATCCTTTAAACAAAATTGAACAGAAATTTTCCTTCTTTTGAAATAAATTTTGAAATACGGAAATTTCCGTTGGAATAAGGTTTTATTATGGAAGCTAAAGTAAAGTTTTAACATACAAACATGTCACATTAAAAAGCAAATTTAGATTTTTTAGCTAGCGCGTTTTTTAAATATAACCAATTCTAGTTTATATTTGTGTGTGTGTATATATATATATATATATATATATATATATATATATATATATATATATATATATATATATTATATTATATATATATATATTATATATATATATATATATATATATATATATATATATATATAAATATATACAATGTAATGTTGCAGTTACTGTGTCTATGTTAGAAATGAGGTTTTACCAAATCTCAAGTATCCTGGTTTGAAAATGGCTAGCGGATTTGCATTTTAAGTCTTAATTTTGGACTAGTTTTGTTAGATTGTTTATTTCAAACGTTGCAAAATTTTATTTTAAGTCTAGTAATCTCGTTTTAAAATATCTCATTTTGAGTTTATAAAGTAACCAATAAACAAGCGCAATTGTTTTAAGAAGCCAATAAAGTTACGCTAAATCGTTTACACGTATTTAAACTTAGCAAATCTTTTTCGATTTAAATTTCTTGTTTGTATTTTAAAGTCAGTTTTAAAGTTAAATTTATTTAAAAGTAGGTTCTAAAATAAAACTGCAATATAAAGAAATCTTTTAATATCAAAGGTAAATACTTATGGTTATAATATCTAGAGTAATGTTTTAAACTGTTATATTACATAAGTTTTGATTTGCAATTTCTGAAGTAGATTAAAATATAAAACTTTTCGATGGAACTAATGGTTTTACTCAATTCCTGAGTTCCCTGAATTCATGGCCCCCAAATCTTTTTAAAAGAATTTTATTTCTTTATTTTTTATCATAGCAGGTTTTTAATAGTAAGTTTTAATATTTTAGGTTTTTTGAATGCTTTGGCCCCCACTTAATACTTAATCCGTTGCCCATTACTCTAAGTGTAATACTTTAATACAGTTTACATATATAATTAATCTACAAAAATGCCGAAAGTAAAGGTTGCAATTACACGGATGAAAAGTGAAAAAAAATATTGTGGCGGCCCATGTGAACTATCAACGACAGATCCAAGTACTTTTAGACAGGTTATTCAGTATTACTACTATCTTATTCATATAAATCCAAATGCAGATATTGTATTAGTGACTCAGCAAATTAGCGATAATATAAAATCAATTTGGGCTACAGTAAACCCAAGATTACCTCTTATAACTAACAAAGCGATTAATAGGAAAGTTAAAGATTTTCTCGTACTATATATATATATATATATATATATATATTATATATATATATATATATATATATATATATATATATATATATATATATTATATATATATATATATATATATATATATATATATATATATATATATATATGTATATATACATATATATATATTATAATATATATTATATATATATATATATATATATATATATATATATATATATAGATTTCTTAAACCTGTTTAAGTAGAATCTTTAAACTATACAATAACTATACAATGTTAACAAAACTTTTTTATTACCTTTAGTTATGAGTTATTGTATATATATATATATATATATATATATATATATATATATATATATATATATATATATATATATATATATATATATAGTATATATATATATATATATATATATATATATATATATATATATATATATATATATATATATACATATATATATATATATATATATATATCTTAAACTCGTTTTAAGATAATATATATATATATATATATATATATATATATATATATATATATATAATATATATATATATATATATATATATATATATAATATATATATATATATATATATATATGTATATATATATATATATATTATATATATATATATATATATATATATATATATATATATATATATATATATATATATATATATATATATTATCTTAAACTCGTTTAAGTGAAATCTTTAAACTTTTTGTTTATCTTTAGGTATTAGTTTTTGGACAAAAAGACGAATGGTAGTAAAAGGTATAGAGAGGTTCTTAGATGACTACACAGACGCTCAGAAAATTTTACCAAAAACGACAGATATTGCAAATGTTCAATTGATTAGTAGTCCTGATATTGCACAAAATCATATAGTCCAATGTCAAAGCAATGTTTCTAATTCCGAAATTGATACAAACTTAGATTCTATTTTAAACAACTCTGGTTGCTATCCAGAATTAACTGACACTGAAACTTCTGGTGATGACATTTCACATATTGCATATGATTATAATTTAAGGTTTAATTTGGCACAATGGTCAATTGAGTTTAATATAACAGAGAAGGCTTTGTCTTCATTGTTGAAAGTTTTGCAAAATTCGTTTTCAGAGTTGCCAAATGATCCGCGTACTTTACGTCAAACAAAATCGGTTATGCCTGTAGATACAATATCTGGAGGGCATTATTATCATTTTGGTGTTGAAAGTGGAATTAAGAGTTCAATTTCCAATTTAATTTTTTTTAATGATTTGAATTGCTTATCTATACAAGTGAATATTGATGGCCTTCCTTTGTTTAGAATTTCTAAAGGTCAGTTTTGGCCAATAATGGGTTTAATTGAGTATCATCAAAACAGTGTTCAGCAAAACAAGTCTTCATTTATGATTGGTTTATTTTATGGTAAAAGTAAACCATCGAGCTGCAACCAGTTTCTAAAAAAATTTGTTGAAGAAAGTAAAGTGCTTTTACTATCTGGAATTGTTATTTGTGGTAAATTATACCGATTTAGTATATCAGCTGTTATATGTGAAAGTCCAGCACGAGCTTTTCTAAAAGCATGCACATTTTGGGTGTGATAGGTGCTGCCAAAAAGGTGTTTATGTAGGAAGAGTAACCTTTCCTATTTTAGGGGCTAAATTTCGAACAGATCAGTCATTTTCTAACATGACTCAAAAACAACATCACAACGGTAAGTCGGTTCTTTTGGAACTTGGTATAGGAATGGTAATACAGTTTCCTCATGATTACATGCATCTTGTCTGCTTGGGAGTGGTAAGAAAGTTGCTTTACATATAGTTGAAAGGTCTTTTGCATGTGAGATTAGGTGCAAGAGATTCAACACGTCTTTCTGATCTATTGGTTGCTTCTTCCAAGTTTATGCCGAAAGAATTTGCTCGTAAGCCTAGGGCTGTGTCGGAATTTGAAAGGTAGAAAGCAACGGAACTCAGACAGTTCTTTTTATATAGCGGTGTTGTATACTTGGCAGATATACTAACTGAAGCCATGTATAAAAATTTTTTGTTATTATCTATTGCGATGAGAATTTTATTGTATCCCCAATTATGTGTGCATAATGCTGTCAGTGCTAATACTTTACTTAATCTGTTCATAAAACATACCTCAGATTTGTATGGTCCAGAGATGATAACTTATAACATACATGAACTATCACATTTATGCCAAGATGCAATCAAGTATGAACCTTTAGACAACATATCTGCGTTTCCATTTAAAAACTATCTTGGTCAGCTGAAAAAGTAAATACGAAAGCCGAATTTTCCATTGCAACAGGTCCAACGAAGATTGCAGGAGATAGATTTATTGGAACTAAAAGCTGTTAATGTGAAGTATCCTATATTAAAACAGAAACATAATATTAGGCTTCCAAGCAGTATTACAGATATCGAATCACAGCATAAGCAATTGATTATGAAAGATTTTTGTATAAAGTGTACTGTTAGTGACAATTGTTGTAAATTGAAAACAGGTGAAATTGTTTTTGTGCAAAACATAGTTAAAAAGTATGGGGAAAATGGTGATATTTTAGTTATATACAACAAATGTGAAAGTATAGAAACACTTTTCACATATCCTTGGAACTCATCATCCGTCGGCATATACTTAGTTAGTAATTTATCAGACAGTACAAAGTTTTGCTCTATTTCTAATATTGTCAAGAAGTTTCTACTTTTGCCCTACAAACAAAGATATGCTGCACTTCCACTTTTGCATTTTTAAAGCTTTTTTTGTCTATGTAATGGATTATTTATAAATTTTTGTCATAAATAAATTTTCATTTTGATTTAAATTGTATTTTTTTCATTAATAATTTTAAAAACATATATTTTCAGTAAAGTATTATATAAGTTTTTCTTTATCAATATATTCATTCATTATCATATCATTTATTAAACAACAAAGTATCATTTTCAATATTTACTCATTTATAAAGACTGTAGTGTTTTTCGTTTTTAGAAAGAAAAATGAAATACCTTGTTGTGTCATTTCTAAATGAACAGGGTTCAATGTATGTTATACCAGACAATTGGCTATTAAATGATAATTCATGCTATTGGCCACAATATGTTAGCGACGCCAGAGTAAAAACAAGCAAAGCCGGGGAAATCCCAGATGACACCTGGCCAAAGCACTCCATTTCAATTATGTATAGAACAGGTATATATATTAGTTCATGTGTAATTTTTTTTTCTTGTCGAAAGTAAAAGATTTGTATAATAAGTGGAAAAGCTAAGTTAAGACATCTTTAGATAATATCAACTAGTAATCTTATTGTTAATTTCAAATAACCTCCTCAGGCCTTGTTTTAAGCATTAATTTTTTTTTTCTGTCTTCTTTTCTCAATCTTTTTTGTGAGGTCAAGCAATTTTTATTTTTTATTTAATATTATTAGAATAATTAAAAAAAAACTTGGTTAACTGAAATTGCTTACTGCTTAAAATTGCTTAAGAAGTACAAAAATAGCTCAATGCTTTAAAACAAGGCCTGCCTTCTGATTACTTATAAAGGTAAATAAACTTATTCATTATTCAGAAACATATGAAAAAGCATGTAAAAAATTGATTCTTGCACAAGAAACTTTAGATTTACAAACAGAAGATGAAGAACATCAGACACAAAGCCGCCAAAAAAGGTTTATGTTTTATTAGTTTTTTTTATTTAAACGAAGTAGTTTTAATGCTTTCTTTTTCTCAATATTGATTTTCTTACTTTATAAATGTTTATATGATTACATTAATTTTACCAAACTTTTGTCTTTTGTCTTTTTCATTTCCAGAAAGAACGATTACTGGTATTACGAACAAGAAAGTGATAATGACACTTATAAATGTAATAACAGCTATAAGCAAAGCAAAGCTAAAATGGCGAAAAGGTTTTTGAAGAGACACATTCTACCCGAAGCTCCCAAGATATCATTGGCACAACCAAACCAACTGGTTGCAAATAATATACTTACTAATACAGTATTATTTCCAGTTTTGTTAACATCTTTACCAAATAACACAGATCGATTGTCGTCAGTAACAAATTAATACAAAATTGCTGCAAAGTTTAACAGCGGGAAAAAATGATGAATGAATTTTTGATAAGCTACACTTACCTCTTAACAACTTAAAAGAGCTAATTACACTTGAAGAACTCCTAAAGAACGATAAAACAGTACTTTTAAACTTAGTAAGTAAATTTTGTTCAAAGCTTTTATTTTCCCCTAGTTTAATGGGGTTGACTATAGTCACCCCCATTATCTATAGAGCAGACTTTATTATACTATTTTTTTTAAT